TTTATTTGTGGAGTACCTTTGTCTTTTAGTAAAAATTTCAATTTTACCTTTTATGGAGATGAAAAAAGTACCAATTATATTGTAGTAATATTTACAAAATTGTCCTTATTTAATGATGAAGATATCACAAACAATAATTTTTAAAAAAAAATAGACTACAAAATTAGTAAATCTACCCTTCACAACTCCCTCTATCTTTAAACTCTGTAATTTTATGGGTTGTGAAGTTTAGATTATCCCTATATATATATATATATATATATATATATTAACTGTCTAAAGTAACCTAAATATAATAATATACTAATAATTATAACTAATGAAAATGGGGATATATCTACTAATAGCCAAGTAGTATAAGGGGATTTCGTATACTTTAATGCTGAAAACAATTCTAAATTGCATTATCAAACATAATGATTACAAACTCAAATGGACTAAAACATATATGGACTATAACATATTATAGACTAGACATGACTAAACATATTGTATTCAAGACTTTTAAACATACTGTATTACAAAAAGACAGTATGGACAAATACATATAAGAAACTGTATAAACAGACTTTCTTACAGACTCATAACAGACACATGAAAAGAAAGAAGAAAAGAAAGAAGGGCTTACTATTTACAGATGCAGTAACTGCAGAAAGCCTTCCACTAATTGGGACAATAACTTGGGAGACTGTCCCAATTACAATCACACATAAGATTTTACAAAGGAGAATGAAGAGAGAGAGAGAGAGATCAGAGCTGAAGAAAGAAGAGAGAGATCAGAGCTGAAGAGGGAGGCTCAATCAAAGGATGCCCTTAAAGTTCTGAGGAGTTTCGTATTTATAGTGGCGGGACTTCAAACTTATTCCATTCTATTTTATTTTCTTTAAGAGAAGCCGTTTGATTTGCGCCAGCTGGATGATGCTTTCTTTTGATGGATGCCAAATGGTCGGTTTGTATTTGTTAGTGATAAAGAAGAGGGCAAGTGGATGGCTATGATGATATGGAATCTTCTTTAATAAAGGTGAAAAGACAAGTGTAATGAGTGGGAATCTTTCTTTTTTATAAAGCGACAGGTGTAGGGCCTCAGGAATCTGCTTTATGTTGGTGCTATCTTGTCAAGCTGAGGGAATCCTTACTGTTGATAGTACGACTTGACTATGCTGATAGGATGGAATACCGGGTCGGGTCAATATAATGTCTGCTTTTGCAAGCATCCATGAGCAGACTGATCTTCAATGTTTTCAGGTTCTTCTGGATCTTCAGGTTCTGTTCCCTGATGATGTATTTGAGCAGTTTCAGCTTCTTCTGAGAATATCTTCAATAATTCTTTTTCTAATTCTGCTTTCGTAGCTAGAGGGTTTTTCTTTTTCATCATAGATATATATTCTGATAAACTATTTGGGTTTTCATATGAAAATGAATTATATTCTAAAGGTATTTGTTTCATGAAAATATTATCAGGCTCAAGATGATGGCAGACGTCCCACCATTTTATTGAAATTTGCTTACCCAAGTATGGTATATATTGATAATTCTGAGTTATATTCGAAGATATTGCATATGTCGATTTCAAGATCCATGGTATTTGATATAAAGCAGTAAAATATAAATGGTAATTAATATTGGGATCTCTCCCATTATGATCAATACATGTGTCTTGGGATGTCTGTAAGGTTTCGGGCATTATTTGGGTTCTGGATCCCCAAACCATAAACCAGTCCTTGAACCAGTTCGGGAATGGGTCTGTAACTGGCAATTTGAATTGAAGAAACCAGGTGTGAGAATTGTACTGGTTTTGTACAGTCAGGACTTTGTGCCAGGCTTCAATATATTCAGAATATCTATAGTGCTTATTTGGGAATTCTGGGGATATAAATCTTTTTGCCCTGGAAGGATCTGAACCCCATTCACTGAAATGCAGAACTTTTCATATTTGTAATTTTGAATAAGATATTATTTTTGAATTCTCTGATAATAATGTGCTATAGTGACTGAAAAAGTCTCAAGCAATATCATTTCAAACTATTCTTTGGTTTTTATGCCAAAAGAAGCGTTTAAGATGTTGCAGAGATAATGTCGAGCTAATGTATTTGAGTCTTCAACCAGATGATATTGTTCTATTATTATATCCTCAATAAAAGTGGTTGCTTCATATTGAGATTTGGCTGTGGGTTTTTTGGGAATGGAAGATTGTAAAAATAATTGTGTTTGTGGAGAGGTTGGAGGAGGCTGACTAGAGTATATGGGATAAACTGGACTATTTGGGTTGCTCGGAGAATATGGTACCAAGTTTCTATTTGGTGATGGTGATGAACTGGCTAGAACTAAATCCATTGTCATTGGCATTTTGCCTCGATTATTATTATTGGAATTCATATTCATAATTTTATTAAACAAAATTAATGCTAAAGAAAGTTCTTCAGGGTCAGATTAATCTGTTCTACCCAATGGTTTAAAAAACGGATCGGTGACCCGAATCGGGCTTCCAAAAAACCGATCCGGATCGGCAAATCGGCGATCCGGATCGAGAATCGGGTGAATCGGTCAGAATAAAGCTTAAAAAAAATTCGAAAAAATTATTAATATTCATTATAAATATTGTTTTTTAGGAATTCAATAAAAAATGAGGGTACTCCATTAAGAATTTTCATGTTTTTGAATGAATATGCGAATATTGATATGTTTTTTCCCTGCATGAACCGCCATTCAGCATTTAATTTACAGTATTTCGTGCTCATCCCTACACTGTTGCTGTTGGGACTCGATATGTGAATAATATGGCTGGGATAGGGTGGCCTCAGAATCATCATCTCTCTCATTTTCTCTTTGAATAATAC